AAAATATTTCTTTAAACCAGCTTAAATCCATGTAGATATCATATTGAGCTTGTTCTGCAATATTTGTATTTGTCATCTTAAATTTTATACAATTTTGTGTTCTCAGTTCTTATAACCACTGCCTGTAGTTTCCCTTTTGAAATGAGAATTGTTACGACGGGATGTACAAAAATGACTCACAGTCACTGCCATTTTCAGTCATCTTTGCCCATTAGTGCATTAACGCGCTCAGCCATGCATTTTGTACAGTTCATTTTTGGTTTTTGCAGTTATACTGTTTTTGAAACATAATCCTATTTTTTTATCTATTTGATAATCAACTCATGTTTTTTTCAATATTAACCCAACCATCCTCGATTAAAGACTTACATCAACCTTTCCCTCACATTCTCTTTCGCATTGACATTTTAACATTGAAAATTTTCCAAATTAATGGAAAGAAATGGCTATGAGTTATGGCAAATACAAAATTATCCTGCATCAGAATCTCCTAGGGAAGCTTGTTTCTCAATAAGGTACAGATTCTAGTACCTTTGTTTTCTACATGGCATTGTGTGTTCATATTCTTTGGCCTTCAGAGTCATGCCAGCTTACACATGTCAAAATATGTGAACTAGACTTTCAGTTGACAGACGTCCATTTTGTGGAAGCTTCCGTGATTTTGTGGAAAGTGCGGCTTGATCCTGGATGGGTCAATAGCTGAATCGTTGTGTAATCCTTCAAATCTTAAATGTAAGACTTTGTTGACAGCTGTCCATTTTGTGGAAGCTGCCGTGACGTTGTGTGCAGGTGATCAGGTACCTCATTCTGAGAGTGCGCGTTTGAATCCTGGATGGGACTCAATCCCCCTCAAAGTACTAGAATCTGTGCTGAGAAAGTGTAATCCCAAATCTTTTAAATAAGTTACACCAAAATGCCTCATGGACATTTCAGTATTCAGCGTAAAGTTGAACAGATTCACTCACTCTCTCCATCTTTTTTAACATGACTGGGACCGTTAGCCTTAGAGGGCCTGTAATTCTCGCGAGGCGCTACACCGGTACTAAGCTGGTTCCCGGCTCCCTTTGTGCCCAGCAACTTGCGATACCAGATTTCTGGTGAGAAACGTGTATTCAAGAACCAGTTCTGGTTCAAAATTGCGCAACCACCAAATATGACTTTACTAGACCGGACCAAGTGTACAACAGTGCTTAGCAGTTGTAATAGTTGGCTAATTTGGGGATGGTTAGATTGGAAATTTGTTATTCCTTCAAGGATTATCGGTTTCTTACTGTCAACTGACAACCAATGAATTGAGACCATTCCAAAAGGTGCGAAACGTTGTTTGTCACCGGAAGTACTAAGGCCTTGTCAAGTGCGGTGACCTACTTATGGGCCCTATTTCAGTCTTGGAGTATTGTATTTCCTTAATTAACCCTGGACATCCAATAAGCATCAGTAGGGGTATCAGAAACCAATAAATGTTGTATCTTGATTAAATACTAGGTACATGTAGTTCTATATTGTGAAAACCACACCTTACACATACAGCACATTGACCCTGTTAAACAGATACATTTAGGGAACTTTTAAATAACTGTACCGAAAATAAGCCTGAGCAAATCATTAGCCAGAAATTGAAAATATAGAAGCCAGCTGTTAAAGGACAGAGGAAAAGAAGGTCAGAAAGAAAACTATCCTGTGGTGTTTGATTGAGGAAATACGGTAAGTACAATTCAAGCTGATGTTTGGTGAGATGACATAATCTGCAGCATATTGGTCGAGGCTTCATAATCATTGGTAACCAAATAGTTAATCAGTGAAGGAGAGTGTGTATGTTTATGGTCTTTGCAAGTTTTATTTAGTTTCCTTTATATATGGATTCTCTAAAGTTGACTCTGGTAGCCATTTTCATCTTGGAGTTATTTATATTTTGAAATTGATCATTTTTGAAAGAAGAATTACAAAGTCATAGGAGTTCAATGTACGTGACCTACAACAGAAATGAGGAATCGGCAAGCAGCCATTTTCTGACATTGTTTGCTCTTGATAATAATGTTTTCAGTGTCTAACTTTAGAAGCCATTTTCTTGTATTTTTATTTGAGATATGATGATGGAAAGCAAATGGTAAATGCGTAGTAATTGTTAAGTTCACTGTTCATTACATTGAACAGAACAGTGAGGTCGGAAAATATGGTAATTTTGAATGCTTGCCCTTAATGTAACAAGTTTTTATCGCCAAAATATTATTTGAGATGTAATGATAGTTAAGGCTTGTAATTTTCAAGTTAAAGTTCACTGTTCATAATGTACACCATGGCAATTTTATATACATGCCATTAATATAATTATTTTTTCATTGCCATGATTTTCCACTGTTTGAAGTATGCCCATTCTTTGAGTCCTGATCGAAGTCCATGATAATTATGGTTGTTTCCATTTTCCCTTACTTCAGAGACGGTGCCAATTGCCGTTGACCATGGCTCATTTTCCCATCATGCATGCTGTATAATTTCCAATCACTACAGTTCCTTAAGCTCTCCAAACAAGCACCTAAACCCAACAAACAAGAACTTAATGTCCAAAGAAACTCAAAGGGTTCTTGTCAGCGCTGATGACTGCCCTGTCACAAACAAATAACAAGATTAAGATGCATTGCCGTATTTCTGCAAGAGAAAGATAATGGTCTTACGTCAGACCGTTTTCACCGATGCCAAACCACTACTGATTTATGCCTTTTCTAAGACCGTGGTCACAATGCCGTGTTCATAACTGCAATTAGAATGTAATTGAGTCCCCATGTAATTTGAGCTTTATAAGTTGCTTGAGTGTGACTATTGAGCTGTGAAGCACTTTAATGAACAGGCAATAGAGGCATTTCCCACTTTACAGAGCAGAATTCCCCATTTACAAGACATTACTTCCTGGGGGTATGCCCAATTGTTGGCTGCCAACAGGTTTATTACGATAACATTACATTAACTTGTGCTTAATAAAGACTTCATCCAACCGTGCTCATTGACCACACGGCCATTTCCTTAATTGAAACAAACCATGATGTTATAAACGTGATTTAATGTTTATTGCGCGCCAAAATATTGACAGGTGGCAAAGTAAAAACATGTAAAAAGATTGATCATGGTCGTCCTTTGTTCATGTTGTGGCTGGGTGTTTATGCTCCTTGCAAGACAGCGCCGTCCTCGGCCACTCTTTTCAACAGGGTAGGAAGTCTGGTAATTACACTTAGGTTAATGAGCCATTGTTTCATTTGGCCATGATCTAGTGGAAGTTATCATGTTTATGGGAACTTAATCTTTTTTCGTGTCTATACATGGTGCCGCTGAAAATAGATCAAACCAATTTAGCCACGGTGATTGTAAAGGTTATATTGATGGGGGAAAATGTGCAATTTAATGTGTTCTTACTGGGGTAAGGACGGAGTACTTTGGCTTTACGTAACATATTGGAAAGTGAAGGTCATTCAGTAAGGGCTGCTGCTGCTGGAATATCGGAAATTTTTGGTCAGGTCTCAGGAATCTTGAGATATCGTATAAAGAATCTGTTCTGTCCTGTATTGATCAGTGTGGAGTACTGCTTCCCTAAAGACAATAAACAGTCCATTTCTCATTATACATCTGATTACTGGAGAATTGATGCTCTATTATTTTCATGTGGGTTTTATTGGGGGTGTTAGTATTTAAAGCTATATAGGGTTGAGTCACTTTGATGTGTTTTGTCAGAGATGCAATGGCTTGGCTGTGATTTTGTTGAATCTGTAGAAGAGTTATCAGATACTGCAGATTGACCAGGGTCATCTGTGTGGCTATTTTGGGATGAATTGACGTGATGTCTGAGGACATATATTGTGTGAACTTTTGGTTTGACAGCCTGCTTGTATTATCACGATGTTACAGAACAGTTGATGTTCACTTTCTGAGATGTTTTAGGGTGTGGGTGGCCCAAATTCTTTTAGAAGCCTCAAGTATCTGTACAGAGTTGCATCCCTTGGGTACTCTCAATACCAATGATCCGGGAGGGACCTGATTATGTACCTAGGTTTGTCAGCATGATCCGTGAAGATCTGGGTTTAAGAATTGGTCTTCAGCAACCCATGCCTGTCGTAAGAGGCGACTAACAGGATTGGGTGGTTGCTGACATGGTTGACATATGTCATTGTTTCCCAATTATGTAGATCGATGCTCATGATGTTGAGCACTGGATTATTTACAGACCTCCATCATATGGCTGGAATATTCCTGAGTGTGGCATCAAAACAACAAACATCGCCATACATGTGCTCATGGGTTTGACCAAAGTGGTGACATCTGTGACCTGCATCATTTTGTGCTTTCTTCCCACATCAATCTGGCATGGCATCATGTGACTGGATTGCTGCTCAAAGCAACTCTCACTAACTCACTGACTGACTGCAAGATGTTATTCTTGTGTGATTATATGTTAAGTATGTAGAACAATTCTCATGTAATGGCTTTGTGAAATAGTGTGACATACCTGTGTTTGTTTCACAAAGACCACCTCTGTGGTGTAGACAAAGACCGCCTCCGGAGAGCGGAAGGTCGCAGGTTTGATCCCCGACCACGTCATACCAAAAGACGTTAAAATATGGTACTTGGTGGTCCCTGCCTGGTGCTCGGCATTAATGGGTACAGCAAGGACTGGTCGGCTCGAGTCAGTATAATGTGTCTGAGTGGGGTATTCATGCTTCACTGCGGCACGGTATCTCAGTGGGCTAGCACTATAAAACCAGCTTAAGTCTGGGCTAGTACAAGCAGCCACACATACACATACACACGCATGCACGTCATCATATGAGCGAAATATTCTCAAGCCCGACGTAAAACCCAATTTCACCTCACCTTTTTTCACAAAACTGACACCAACATCTACAATGAAAATTTGAACCCAATCTCATGGACAGTTGACAATTGTGGGAGGTCAAATCAAAGTATGCTGTATTGAGAGAATGCCTCTGTCAGTCATATTTGTGTCTTGTTTGCAGGTGTGTCTGTCCACAATGAAGCTGTTTGACATGCTGCTCCAGAAAGAGGATGCTCACATCTTCCAGAACCTGTTTCTGCGGAACCTCCTTGGAAGGAGCTACATGAAATCACATGCTGGCACTCAAGGAAAGCAGGATAGTAGTGGTAGTGGTCCCAAAGAATCACAAGATACTAGTGGTCCCAAAGAATCACAAGATAGTAGTGGTCCCAAAGAATCACAAGATAGTAGTGGTCCCAAAGAATCACAAGATCAGAGTGGTTCCGAAGAACCACAAGATGGGAGTGTTTCCATGGGAACTGAGGATAGTTCCACAGAATCACCAGGCACACTTCAGGTAGATGGAGGCACAGATGCTGCCTCTAATCCTGTGAAAGATGGTGATAGTTGTAAAGAAAAACAAGATGAACAAACTGAAGAAAGAACTGCTGAAGATTCACAAAGGAAAGGAGATACTGTGTCTGAAAGTTCCCAGGATAAGGCAGCAATAGAAACACAAACACAAAGAGGTATGTTTCATGTAGTACATTTTGTTGATGATATGTGAAAAACATATGCCCTGTGAAACGATTATTGCACAGACTAGGCATTAGAGCTGTGACGATACATCATGGTATCGATAATCGTGATACTTTATCTGACGATGAATATATCAATTCTTTTTGTTTGTATCGTGATATGTATCGTTGACCTTAAAATTGTTAAATTTTACTAGAAATTGACGGTTATGTAAAGATTTACACTGTAACTTGCAATCAAAATATACTTTTGTTAAGAAAATAACTAAAGATAGCATATCGTGATATGCATCGAATCGAATAGTATCGTTCCAAGATATCGCGTTACGTATTGTATCGTGACATTTCCGTATCGTCACACCTCTACTAGGCATAAGATACATCGGTTTTGGGTTTGTATGAATGTGCTCCAGGTGAGCTCTTGTGTTGGCATATTGTCAGATTGTCTATCTGTTATTAACTTTTATTCATGTTTGGACATATCTCAGACTACAAGGAGCTGAAACTTACATAAATGATCCAAGCAATGTGAGTCGGAAAAATGTTCACTGAATTCCAATTTGATTTGAAGCATAGATGCCATTGCTTCATTATTAAGGTGAGCTTCAGAGCCTTGCTTCTATTTTAGTTCGATTGAAATATTTGTCCAGTTCATGATCTAATTTTTCTTCACTGGGGTGGGTTAAAGCATTTGCTCATCATGCCAAAAACCGGGTTTGATTCCACTACTTGGGTACAATGTGTGAAGCCGATTTCTGGTGTCCCCTGGCGTGATATTATGGAATATTGCTAAAAACAGCATGAAACCAAACTAACTCACTCACTAATTCTTTACTGGCATGATGTCCAGAATTATCTGACTTCAAACATGAATGCCATTTCTTCATAATTCAGGTGAGCTACAGAACCTTGCTTCTATTTTTGTGTTTGCTTAAAATATTTGTTCAGTTCATGATCTGATTTAATTCTTCACTCGGGGTGAGGTCCAGAATTAACTCCAGCATTAATGAAGATTATTTGATTAGGGAAAGGACATCAATCTCCAGGGGCATCGTGGACAAGGCTGTCTTGCTCCCCTCTAATTCCTCAACAGTGAAATGAGCATGTGTGGGCACATTATGTTTTTTGGTGACATTAACTTCAGAACATATTGAACCTTATTTCTAGACAGACCTGTTTTTGCAGCCTGATGTATTATCTTTAAAAACACAGATGCTGCCTTTCTCATTGACAAAAGATGGATGAGTCTTGAAGAGATTTGAACATTTCACGGATTGATTAACAAGTTGGACAGCAATGACTTGATATCGAGTTTCTTCTTTTTTCATAATTGAATTATACTTTTTGTATATTAAGTTATATCAATGAATTATGAACAATTACATCTTTTTAGAAAATCGAGACAATTATATTATAAAAAAAATGGCAGATATGGATGCATTAGAAAATCTGAAATGTAAGGAATAATGAAAGGCTGTTTTTCCAGCTTTAAGAAATATGGAATGTGTAGGGTGTATATCATTGAAGAAATATCAAGATTCGTCTGTCAGTTTTTTATTGTTTGCTTTAGAAATGACATTAATTAGATAAAGTTTCACTTTTAGTGAAACATGGACAGAATGCTGAATTTCACGTCCGCTCTAAATGCGTGTTCATTGGTGCGTGAATGTCCTGATTGTGTACGGATGCTTGCATCTTGTCAAATTACATCTGTGAGATTTTTCATGAGAATGCTTTCTTCATGGACTTCACATTTAAAAAAAAATAAAAATAAGAAAATAGCTTTTGCTAATAAATCACTCGTGATGAGGTTTATCAATTTTGAATTAGTTTTGAAGGTAGCTAATTTGAGTGTACTCCTGGGAGCAGAGATGCTTCATTTCCTCAAACAGATGAAGATAGTTGTTCAGGTCTGACATGGTCCTCTCATTGCAGTAATTGATGTGCTGGAAATGTTGCTGATTGTCTTTGAAATATGTCCATGTTAGGCAGGTATCGGGGAGACATTACCGCCAAGCTTTGGCCTTTATCTGTCACGACCAGAATGTGTGTGAAACTTCAATGTCATGTTGCCCTTTACATAACTTTCAAGACAAAAACTATTTCAAGTTGAAATGGCTTGCAGGAAAGTGATTAGAAGCTAATTAGAATCAAAGCAAGGGTCTATGTTTTGGGAGCTTGTTGGTTGGGATTAGATGAATAGGTTGAAAAAACGAAACACATAATACATTAGATGGGTTGTTACGTGGTATGTGTCATGTGTAGCCCTGTTAAACAATGGAGTCCTGTTCGCTTGTATTCACCTTTGGACCGCCTCCGTGGTGTAGTAGTTAAAGCGTCCGCCCAGAGAGCGCAAGGTCGCTGGTTCGATCCCCGATCGCGTCATACCATATGGTATTTGTTGGTCCCTGCCTGGCGTTCGGCATTAATGGGTACAACAAAGACTGGTTGGCTCGGAGTCAGTATAATGTGTCTGAGTGGGGTATTCATGCTTCACTGCGGCATGGTATCTCAGTGGGCTAGCACTATAAAACAAGCTTAAGTCTGGGCTAGTACAAGCAGCCGCACATACACATACACACGCATGCCCGTCGTCATAGGAGCGAAATATTCTCAAGCACGACGTTAAACCCAATTTCACCTCACCTGTATTCACCTTTAGCGAATTCTCTTCTGTTTCAAAGTGTTGATCTGTTAGCTAATGCTAGCATTGACTGCCAGGTTGATGCTGTTAGCCAATGTAGCACTGAGAGCTGGAGGTGATCTCTTAGCTAATGTAGCACTGACAACTGGAGGTGATCTGTTAGCTAAAGTAGCACTAAGACTTGGAGGTGATCTGTTAGCTACTGTAGCTCTGAGAGCTGGAGGTGATCTGTTAGCTACTGTAGCACTGAAAGCTGTAGGTGATATGTTAGCTAATGTAGCACTGAGAGCTGGAGGTGATCTGTTAGCTAATGTAGCACTGAGAGCTGGAGGTGATCTGTTAGCTAATGTAGCACTGACAACTGTAGGTGATCTGTTAGCTAATGTAGCACTGAGAGCTGGAGGTGATCTGTTAGCTAATGTAGCACTGAGAGCTGGAGGTGATCTCTTAGCTAATGTAGCACTGAGAGCTGGCGGTGATCTGTAAGCTAATGTAGCACTGAGAGCTGGAGGTGATCTGTAAGCTAAAGTAGCACTGAGAGCTGGAGGTGATCTGTTAGCTAATGTAGCACTGAGAGCTGGAGGTGATCTGTTAGCTAATGTAGCACTGAGAGCTGTAGGTGATGTGTTAGCTAATGTAGCACTGACAACTGGAGGTGATCTGTTAGCTAATGTAGCACTGAGAGCTGGCGGTGATCTGTTACCTATGTAGCACTGACAACTGGAGGTGATCTGTTAGCTAATGTAGCACTGAGAGCTGGAGGTGATTTGTTAGCTAAAGTAGCACTGAGAGCTGGAGGTGATCTGTTAGCTAATGTAGCACTGAGAGCTGGAGGTGATCTGTTAGCTAATGTAGCACTGACAACTGGTAGGTGATCTGTTAGCTAATGTAGCACTGAGAGCTGGAGGTGATCTGTTAGCTAAAGTAGCACTGAGAGCTGGAGGTGATCTGTTAGCTAATGTAGCACTGAGAGCTGGAGGTGATCTGTTAGCTAAAGTAGCACTGAGAGCTGGAGGTGATCTGTTAGCTAAAGTAGCACTGAGAGCTGGAGGTGATCTGTTAGCTAATGTAGCACTGAGAGCTGGAGGTGATCTCTTAGCTAATGTAACACTGACAACTGTAGGTGATCTATTAGCTAATGTAGCACTGAGAGCTGGAGGTGATCTGTTAGCTAATGTAGCACTGAGAGCTGGAGGTGATCTGTTAGCTAATGTAGCACTGAGAGCTGTAGGTGATCTGTTAGCTAATGTAGCACTGAGAGCTGGAGGTGAACTGTTAGCTATTGTAGCACTGAGAGCTGTAGGTGATCTCTTTGCTAATGTAGCACTGACAACTGTAGGTGATCTCTTAGCTAATGTAACATTGAGAGCTGGAGGTGATCTGTTAGCTAATGTAGCACTGAGAGCTGGAGGTGATGTGTTAGCTAATGTAGCACTGAGAGCTGGAGGTGATCTGTTAGCTAATGTAGCACTGAGAGCTGGAGGTGATCTGTTAGCTAATGTAGCACTGAGAGCTGGAGGTGATCTGTTAGCTAAAGTAGCACTGAGAGCTGTAGGTGATCTGTTAGCTAATGTAGCACTGAGAGCTGGAGGTGATCTGTTAGCTAATGTAGCACTGAGAGCTGGAGGTGATCTGTTAGCTAATGTAGCACTGACAACTGGAGGTGATCTGTTAGCTAATGTAGCACTGAGAGCTGGAGGTGATCTGTTAGCTAATGTAGCACTGAGAGCTGGAGGTGATCTGTTAGCTAATGTAACACTGACAACTGTAGGTGATCTGTTAGCTAATGTAGCACTGAGAGCTGGAGGTGATCTGTTAGCTAATGTAGCACTGACAACTGGAGGTGATCTGTTAGCTAATGTAGCACTGAGAGCTGGAGGTGATCTGTTAGCTAATGTAGGAGAGCTGGCTGAGGTGATCTGTTAGCTAATGTAGCACTGAGAGCTGGAGGTGATCTGTTAGCTAATGTAGCACTGAGAGCTGGAGGTGATCTGTTAGCTAATGTAGCACTGAGAGCTGGAGGTGATCTGTTAGCTAATGTAGCACTGAGAGCTGGAGGTGATCTGTTAGCTAATGTAGCACTGAGAGCTGGAGGTGGAGGTGATCTCTTTGCTAATGTAGCACTGACAACTGGAGGTAATCTGTTAGCTAATGTAGCACTGAGACCTGGAGGTGATCTGTTAGCTAATGTAGCACTGACAACTGGAGGTGATCTGTTAGCTAATGTGTAGCAATGAGGGGTATATATATCAAACAGAACCTAAAGTGGTGCCTTTTGCTATTTGCAGATTTTTTTTATTTTTATTTTTCTCAGTATCCATGGAAACAATTTGGACTTAATCTGAAA